GCATGTGCCCACTGCCCACCCTTATTTAAGTGCATGTATCTTATATATAAAATTTCTAAAGAAAAATCTTATACAAAGTTTCCTCTAACAATCACATAATAATAAAATTGTGAGGGAAAAAAATCATAAAAATGGGCTAAACGATCATTGTCGGGTACTATTAGAAACTTATTACCAAAATGGGGCTGTTTTGAGGTGAATGTTACTTTCCACTTATATAATATTTAATTGCCTAATCTCTAGTCGATGTGGGACTTAGGTTTTTCCCAATACACTCTCTCACGTCAAGCACTATTAGGCTTGGTATGTGGATAAATGGTAGGTGACCCTTTTTTAATGATCTAGGATTGGCGGGACTTGAATACACCCCCTCATGCCCATGGTGCATGTATCAATGAATGGTGGGTGGCTTTTTAAGAATCTAGGATAATTATGATACCACTACAAGAAAAATCAGCATTATCTACGGAAAAAATCCGTAGATAATGATGAAAATCCGTAGATAACTGATAATTATCTACGGATTATCTACGGAAAAAAATTCGTAGATAATAAGGTCGTAGATAACATTATCTATGGAAAATTTTCCGTAGATAACGTTATCTACGGATTTTATCTACGGATATAGAATTTATCTACGGATGAGTTTATCTACGGAAATTTCCGTAGATAACTGATTTCAACATAGAAGAACTATTTCTTGGGGAGCCAAATATATCCATACACAATGTTATAGAAGCTGATGAGAAAAACATATAAACAAAAATTAAAGGAAAACAATCTGATACATTTCAACAAAAACAATTGGATCCATCAGAAAACATATAAACAAAAATCAAAAGACATCAATCTGATCCATTTAATAAAAAATAAAATTTCTCTCCGACTTTCTCTGACAAATGCACATTCATGAAACTAAATCTACTATAAACATAAGAAATAAGGACTCACTATCCAAATCTAAATGAACAATTTAAAACAGACACGTCTCCGTTCAACAAGGCACCAATAAGTATGTAGCGTATAGACTAGGACTGGGAAATAGCACAAAGAATCCTCAACCAGTCCACACAATTATCAGGAACGCCTGACTCACCAAGACAAGCTCCCTATTTCCCCTTCCGTTCTCACCTATATTTCACTAACCCAAAATAATAAACAAACCAAGAATACAAGCAACAAAAAACAAATCATTAAATATGAGAGGTTTATTAAATGGATCAGATTGATGTCTTTTGATTTTTGTTTATATGTTTTCTGATGGATCCAATTGTTTTTGATGAAATGTATCAGATTGTTTTCCTTTAATTTTTGTTTATATGTTTTTCTCATCAGCTTCTATAACATTGTGTATGGATATATTTGGCTCCCCAAGAAATAGTTCTTCTATGTTGAAATCAGTTATCTACGGAAATTTCCGTAGATAAACTCATCCGTAGATAAATTCTATATCCGTAGATAAAATCCGTAGATAACGTTATCTACGGAAAATTTTCCATAGATAATGTTATCTACGACCTTATTATCTACGAATTTTTTTCCGTAGATAATCCGTAGATAATTATCAGTTATCTACGGATTTTCATCATTATCTACGGATTTTTTCCGTAGATAATGCTGATTTTTCTTGTAGTGGTATCATAATTATCCTAGATTCTTAAAAAGCCACCCACCATTCATTGATACATGCACCATGGGCATGAGGGGGTGTATTCAAGTCCCGCCAATCCTAGATCATTAAAAAAGGGTCACCTACCATTTATCCACATACCAAGCCTAATAGTGCTTGACGTGAGAGAGTGTATTGGGAAAAACCTAAGTCCCACATCGACTAGAGATTAGGCAATTAAATATTATATAAGTGGAAAGTAACATTCACCTTACAAGCTGATTTTGTATGGTTGAGTTATAGGCTAAAAAAGGGCCACCTACGATTTATTCACATACCAAGCCCAATAGTGCTGGACGTGAGAGGGGTGTATTGGGAAAAATTCAAGTCCCACATCGACTAGAGATTAGGTAATTAAATATTATATAAGTGAAAAGCAACCCTCACCTTACAAGTCGATTATAAAAATGAGGCCACAAACCCATTTATAAATTCCATGTTATCTCTAACGACATCTGGTGTAGTTCCTATTTTTGCCTTTCTTAAGAATCTGACGAGTCAGTAACAAACTCTACCAACTTGTCTAATGCACTGTCATGATTTCTTGTTCACCTATCAAATCCCAATTTGGTTTCTCCATCTCTTTTTATATTCATGTCTGTCACCCTCATTTTTCATTTCACACGCTTTCTTTTTCCGACTCTAACGGTCGCCTCTAAATCAAATTAATACCAAAAATTACGCCCCTACATTTTTTCTAATTTTTAACTGAATATATACTTTTTATATATAAAATAACATCGGTTGCATATTACTAAAAATAATAAATTATTAATATATATGTCAATAATTAAATGTGACTTATTTTTTTATTATTTAATTTTAACTTTTAAATTATATTTTAAATACCATGTTTATCATGATTTAAAAAATATTTTAATTTTATGAAATAAATTTTAAAATAAAAAATTATTATTTTTAAAATTAAAAATAATAAAACAAAATATTGAACATAATTCAAAAAGAATAATAGACATATATATAATTCAAAATATGAATTAAATTTTATTTTTTTCTTACTTTAACTTACTAATAACATTATTTTAAGAAAGAAAAATAATTTTTAAAAATAAGAAAATAAATGTATATTATTTAAACAAATTTCAAAGAAGTAAGTACAATTTTTCCAAATTAATATAATTCTATTTGGACAAGAAAGTTAAAGTTAAATTATGAATTTTAATTTTTAAACAAGTTATACAAGAAAGTTTGTATAAAAATTAAGCATAAAAATAATTTTAACTTAGAATAATTTAACTTTTTATTTTATTTTATATATATTATAATTATATAGGCTTTAGGCTAACGGTTGTTATCAACTCAGATGCAACCATCATTCATCAATGAATCCTTTTATATCAATCTAGAAAGAACATTCAGATTTCAGACTAGAGTTTCTTATACAGATTGGATGATCTAACTCGAAGTATTCCATGATAACATCATTCCTAGCTTGCGATTCAAGATTTATGTATTATATCAGAAATTCATTTTACAGTGGGTCAGGACAAATCGTAGACCAGTCCAAGCTTGTCTGATCCCTGTTTCCACGCTTTACCCGTGAAGGAGCTTTCAAATGTCAAACCCACCTGTGCAGTGACCAGAATATCACACTCATCAGGGTCCACACTAGCTGAATTACTTGGCTGAATCAATAAAATATTAATATAGATAAAATGCATCAAACAATAAAAGTTATATTAACGATAATTTCATATTATTAATAGTGTAAAAGTATTTCACCATGTCAATGCTTTATTATTATATTTTAATTACAGAAAAAAACTAAACACTTACGATATAAAGTAGTTCTAAATTGATTCTCATTCACAAATCATTTATTTTTATAATAATTACGTGGTATAAAAGAAAATTAAAGCTAGTATAAAAGTCATCTTTGAATGTTATTAAAAAAGCCCTTTCTTCATTATATAGATTGTCAAACATTTGAAAAATTAACAAGTGTGACCTTTGAGATTATAGTTGAACATGTGGTAGTATGGTGACCTAGCTAATGTTCGTCAAAATGATGTGTCCCTAGTACTGCCAAGTACGTATCTTTGATACGACATTCCTGTGCGTGTAATTCGTTGCTGATCTCATTCTCATCCATGCGTAAAATTAAATTAAAAATTATGTTGGTGACGGGCCACCTAATTTAATACTTTCGATATATTTTTCATAAGTATCTCTAACTAAATTCTTGTTAGATGCAATCAAATCAATTTAGTTATGGTGCTTTTATAATTTATTTGCTTCATCCTATGGCAGTAGTCTACGGTACTTGCAATCAATCAAAACTATTAACCTAAATATCCAGTATAAGAATCATTAATTAATGAATAACTAGCCATGTTTTACCAGACAGAAAATGAAGGAGGGTGAGGAACACCCAACCTATATAACCCATAATAAGAGCCAGATCTTCACAACAAACAAAGGGTGCTGCTTCAGACCTTCATGTATGATGTATCATACTTGTTTCTAACGCGGAATTTTTTATTTTATATTTTTTTTATATTTATAATTAACAATCATTAGAAGACTTAAAGTGCTTTTTTTTTTATTACCAAAGAGAATAAATATTATATATTCGGCGTTCCCTTCGAAAAAAAAAAAAAGATTATTGGGCGCTTTATCCCACAATCACCTGAATAAGAAAAAAAAGTCAAATTGGACTGTTGCAAAAGTGGCACGATCTTTGTGTCTTAAACTTTTTAGCAATAAAATATTCTCTTTTCCACAAATCACAAGAATTCCTTAGATGAAAAGAAAGGGCATTTATTGGACACTTTACACTAAATTATATGTAGTTTTCTGCAGGTAATTTTCAAGAATTCCTTTGGTAATTTTCATTGGAGAGCTTGAGTTGCAAAGCAAAGAATTAATAAAGTTAAAATGCTTTTGTTTTGGTCTTTTTGGAATGTTATGCTTTTGCTAAAAGGAGTAATTAACCTTGTTATAATGCAAGTCAGAAAGAGTAGGATAAGTAGAATAATGTTAAAGTGTTAGTCTTATTACTTGATTATACTTTTAAAATATGATTATTATTATTATTATTATTTACTTATGTACTTAATTTCGATTATCTCATCAATCGATATGAAATCTTCTAATATAGTTATGCTTACAAAAATTCAGCTTCTATCCGAATACTTCTTAAATAAGCATTCATGCACTTAATTAACTAGCTGGTGTAACAACTCCTATAGGTTTGAACTAAGTTAAGTTTCCCTTTGGTGTCTGACCTCAACGAAATGAACCTAATCTGCCAACCTCAAATGACTTTATCTCTCTCTCCCCCTCTAATCCCCCTATAAAAGCACCTTCTCCCACTCTCACTTGCATTGCAACCTTAACATACAACATTCACACAAAAGTGTTCATTGCTCGCTAGCTACCTAGCTAAAACATGGAACCTGTCAAGTTCATTCTCAACAATGCCAAATACTCCTCCATCTTCTTAGCTATCTTTGTGCTCTTAGCTTCAGCAAATGCCAAAGTTCACGAGCATGAGTTTGTTGTACGTTCTCTCACTCTCTTTCTCTTTCTTTCTTAGGGGTCTAAATTTCTTTCATTTATTCTTTTTTTTGTTGGATAATAATTACTTAACTGGTGGTAATGGAATAGGTTGAAGCAACTCCAGTGAAGAGGCTGTGCAAAACCCACAACACTATCACCGTGAATGGGCAATACCCGGGCCCAACGTTGGAGATTAACAATGGAGACACTTTGGTCGTCAAAGTCACTAACAAAGCTCGTTACAATCTGACCATTCATTGGTATAATATCAAGCTAATATTTTAACTTCATTAGTAGACCTTTGACTTAACCAATATATCTTACTCATTTCCTTACTACAACTATAGAAGACACACACGTATATAAATTAGTGGAAGTAATACTTATATGATAACTAATTTATTAACCAAAGTCGCTAATATGTAGATCCTTCCCGGATACATTATACTCTATTCAAAAATATTTTTCACTCCTTATGTTTTCTTATACTACTCAATATATATACTCCTTTTTATACTAAAATGGAACTAGTTTTTCTCACTATTTTACATGTAAAGAATAATGAATAAAAAAGTACATATTTTTAATTTTCTTAAATCCTAATTTTTACATCTACTGTATACTAATTACTCTATTTCTCTTCTAATCTCGTTTCTCTATCTAGCTAGGCGTATAGTATACGTTCTATTAGAATGTGAAAAAATAATTTCTCATAATCTTATATGCATGATAGCATAGTACGATCGAGCTTGAAAGTTTTAAAATTAAGCAAGGAGTTGTATGACCATTTTGTTTTTCGGTTTGAACAAATATAATTGATCAATTGCTCATTGTTTCTTATATATGTCCTTAGGCACGGTGTTAGGCAAATGAGAACAGGATGGGCTGATGGACCAGAATTTGTGACTCAATGCCCTATTCGTCCTGGAGGAAGTTACACCTACCGTTTCACCGTCCAAGGACAAGAAGGCACACTTTGGTGGCACGCTCATAGTTCATGGTTAAGGGCCACAGTTTATGGTGCCCTAATCATTCGTCCTAGGGAAGGAGAACCCTACCCTTTCCCCAAGCCAAAGCACGAGACACCCATTCTTCTTGGTAATCAATTTTCCTTATTCACACATGCATAATTTGTAATTATAACATTGATGGAGCTAGGTAATTTAGAAGATACAAAAGATCATTAAAAGGGTAAAAAGTGCTTGTGACAATAATTAAAGAGGGAGTGGAAATTGTGTTTTTGTCGTTGTTGGTTTTGGACAAATATTAAACGGTGGAAGTGGTGATTTAATTAGGGGAATGGTGGGACGCAAACCCTATCGATGTTGTGAGGCAGGCCACACGAACAGGGGGAGCTCCAAACGTGTCTGATGCATACACCATCAATGGTCAACCTGGTGATCTTTACAAGTGCTCTAGCAAAGGTTTGATTATTATTCCTTCTTATTAATTTTGATTACATTGAACATGTCACATATCTTGTTTAGCAAAGCAAAATATTTAAAACATGATGCAGTCGTGAAAAAGAGAAGCGTTCTGGGAAAAGACGTATGATATGAAATTATTAAAGATGTCAATTATTTATGAAACAAGTCAACAATAGGTTGTTTTTTTGGTACACCGTCAATTTGATGGCCTTTTTACTTTTTCTTCTCTTTTAAAGACAAAAGCGTCTCCCCGACCAAAAATGTATACTTAATGTTTATAATAGATTATTTATATCATTATACATTTTTATTATTAATAATTTTTTAAAACATCAAATTTTCATTCAAAATGACAAACTAATAGACTAAAAGACATAAGAAATAAAAAAAAAAAATTTCTAATTAGATATACAATAATTTAATTGATTAACAAGGTAAACTTAAACTATTTAGTCTTGCATGAACATATATGGGTTTGACGTGAAATTGGCAATGCAGACACGACCATCGTGCCAATATACGCCGGCGAAACGAACCTCCTCCGTGTGATAAACGCTGCACTGAACCAACCCCTCTTCTTCACGGTGGCAAACCACAAACTCACAGTGGTTGGCGCCGACGCCTCCTACCTGAAACCCTTCACCACCAAAGTCCTCATGCTGGGCCCCGGCCAAACCACCGACGTCCTCCTCACCGCCGACCAGCCCCCCTCCCGCTACTACATCGCCGCCCGCGCCTACCAGTCGGCCCAAAACGCCGCCTTCGACAACACCACCACGACCGCCATCCTCCACTACAACCGCCACCCTCGCCCTCACCACCACCACCACACCACCAAAACGAAACCCCTCATGCCCCCTCTCCCCGCATTCAACGACACCAACACCGTCACAGCCTTCAGCAAAAGGTTCCGAAGCCCTAGAAGAGTCGAAGTCCCCGCCGAAGTGGACGAAAGCCTCTTCTTCACGGTGGGCCTGGGCCTGAACAAGTGCCCCAAAAGCTTCAACAAAAGCCAACGGTGCCAGGGGCCCAACGGAACCCGATTCACGGCCAGCATCAACAACGTCTCCTTCGTGCTCCCCAACAACGTCTCCATCTTGCAGGCGCACTACGAAGCCATCCCCGGCGTCTTCACCACCGACTTTCCCGCGAGGCCGCCGGTGAAGTTCGACTACACCGGAAACGTGAGCCGGTCGCTGTGGCAACCTCTTCCCGGGACGAAGGCGCATAAGCTGAAGTTTGGGTCGAGGGTGGAGATTGTGCTGCAGGATACTAGCATTGTCACTCCTGAGAACCACCCCATTCATCTTCATGGCTATGATTTCTACATCGTTGCCGAAGGGTTCGGGAATTTTGACGCTAAGAAAGATACCAAGAAATTCAACCTTGTTGATCCACCTTTGAGGAACACTGTGGCTGTGCCTGTAAATGGATGGGCAGTTATTCGATTTGTCGCTGATAACCCGGGTACGTAATTAACTATATACTTTCTTTCTACTCTTCATTATTATTTTTTTCACTATAATTTGTGATTAAATGGTGTTAATTTCTAGGTGCCTGGCTTTTGCATTGTCACTTGGACGTTCACATTGGCTGGGGTTTGGCCACGGTATTGTTGGTTGAGAACGGAGTTGGGAAATTGCAATCCATAGAGCCCCCTCCTCTGGATCTTCCTCTTTGTTAGGATCATTTCAAACTAATCATGCCTTCAATATTTTTTTCCCTAGTTTCGAAATCCTGTATTTCGGGAGTTTTTTCAATTTTGTTTTGTTGCAGTTGTGCTTTTTAAGTACAGATAAATTGGGTTGGGAACTTAGGAGAGATCGATGTTGTTGTGGTTTAGTTAAATTGATGTTTTATTTTTCCCAATAGTTCATGTTTCAAACAGATTGCAAGTTTTGATTATATAAATATGCCGTTTCTTGCCCTTTATATTTTTGTTACAATTCTTGCCTTAAAAATATGACTAAAAGTTATAAAATGTTTTTTGCTTTCTTGGTTTTCATTAAGCTACACGTGCAAGTATATCCAAATTCAGACTACTCTATTTTTATTTTATGTATATATTATTAACTTAGGCCATTGCAATTGAGAAGCTGAAAGCAACTAGCACTGGTCATGTGAGTGGGTGGCAAACGTGCGGTCCAGTAGTCCTCTTGAGTTTTAGCCCAATAATCTCATCAAATGAAACTATAGGCCCGCTTCACAAATTTTCAAAGGTTCCATCTCCTTTTTTCTATAAGTATACCTCCTTTTAAAAAAAAAAAATTAAAATCTTAAAATATTTTTAATTTTTAATTTTTAATTTTTTAATTTTACACTCACAACATTTAATTTAGTACTTTTTCTTTATATATCTTTCCTCATTTTTTCAATTTTCACATACACCCCCTTATATTTTCTTCACCTCACCTATTTTGATAGATAATTTTAATTCTTTTGATTTTACATTACTCTCCCCTCTCCTCTCTTAGTTTTCTTACTCTTATCACATCTCTTCCCGCTTTTAGTTTTCACGTACATGTAAAACGTAGAACTAGTTTTCAATAATATTATAGGTATGTGTGACTTTCTCGACAATAGGTAAGAAATTAGAGGAAGACGAGATGATGCATGTGAAAACTAAAAAAGAAAAAAATGTATGAAAAAGAAAAAAAAGTAACAAATTAAAAGTTAGAGATATAAAATAAGAAGAAAAAAATTACAAATATTTTATAATTTTTTTAAAAAAATAAAGGAGGCGTACTTATAAAAAATATGAGGTGTATAGCCATTTTCAAATTGACCACTGTGGCCTATGATTTTAATATATTCGAAGCCCTGTTAGATAATGTTGTTTCATTCTGTCCTAGTTTATCGGGGTCGTTAATAGTTTCCTTATGCTTGTCAAGTGTTTTAAGAGGTAGTTCAGAATTTTATTTATTTATTTATTATTCGTTGATTATTAGTTGGTATTTTCATGTTTTGGTAGTAGTTATGATGTGTGCCTATTTAAAAGGCATGTTGCCGAATAAAGTTGCTCACAACTTTTTTTTTTTTTTTTTTTTTTTTTTTTTTTTTTATAACGAAAAAGAAATATATATTGGAGGTTGGATACAGAATATACTCAAAAAGAAAAGAAGTACACATAGAGATCAGATAAAGGTAACAGCCTAAATACTAAACCAACATGATATCCCAGAAAGTAACACATTTCCTATATAAGTGAATAACATTTAGCTAACATCTTGACATAATGTAATTTCCTACAGTGTAGTGCTATGAAAAAGAAAAAGTTATTAAGTAGTTCAATACTATCATTTAAGTGATTATGATCTCCACTTGCTAATCTCTATTTAATAACGTGTATTTTAGTTTTTTAATTTTAAAAAATAACACTTGATTAGTTGATTATATATTATCTAAAAAATAAATGGAAATTTTATGTTCAAGAGTCACTTAATAATTTCTCTTTCAAACACACAAGAACAGTTTACTTCTTCTCATAAAAAGTACACAACACTTAAGGAGACTACTTAGCACTTAGGGCTAGTTGAATAGCTATATCGGAATGAAATTGTTTGTGGTTAGATGGATTTCTGCTAACAATCCTAACATATCATTGTCGTCCTATCCAATAGTATTAGGAGTATACCTTTCATTCTACTCTACCAATCTCTGCTAGAAAAATAATAAATAAAGACTTAAACCAACAATTTATTTCTGGAGGTGTTTATACGAACCTAATAAAAAAAGGACAATAAAATTTAACAACTGTTTACTGAGTGACATTAATTGCCCCGTGGTAGAAGCCTAACCTAATGATATAGCGATCGATCTAACAACAACTTTTTAAATTAGCTCACACATTTGATCATAAGTTTCTTTAATTATATAAGTTTTTATAAAAGAATAAAAAATGAAATAAATTAAAAATCTCTCATAAATTATAGTTAGCTCACGCATTTCATTTTATTTTCTCTTTATCTAACTTTCCCAAAAGTAAACGAGTATATGATAATTTTGGCTTTTAAAAAAGAAGTTTGGCTCCTTCTTCCTTGTTTTCTTCTTTTATAAAATGCTTGTAAAGAAAGTTATTCAAAATAATTAACTTTTATAATTTTTAATGTGACGTTTGCTTTTTAAATTTTTTTTTGTGTTCATGTAAAAAAAAAATAATAATGTAGCAGTAGTAGGACAAAATGTCATAATATTCCACATGGCATCTTCCAAAATATGTAGAATCATGTGATAAACATACTCAAGTATGGTGTAAATTTATGTGAATTCAAATTAGTTGTCTCAATGATGAATACAAATAAATAATATAAAACAAACAACTTTTTCTCTAAATATTTATATATATAACTCCAAAAACTTCGTCTTAAATATTATTATATATAAATTTTATTATAGAAGAAATTGTTAGAGAATATAATTTTTTTACACCATTAATGAATATAATTAAAAGTAATTAAACAAATATGTTAAAATAATTAATACCACAATAATTCATAAATAATTATTAAATATATTTTATTTAGAAGAAAACTATTTTTTAAAAAATATTTCAACTAAAGTAAATATATATA